ATGTGTATAGAGGATTTTTCATTTGAAAAATTAATCATATTATTTTTACATGCCAAATATTATTTTAAAAATACAAAATTTGTTGGAAAAAATAGTTAAGACTTTCCCCGAAAATATAAGAGTTTCACATCTGATGTTGGGAAAATGAGCTGGCTCTTCATGGCCACGGATTAAACAAGCTAGCCTCTCTTAGGCCCGCATTTGAAAAAGTGCCTATTTTACTGAACCGTCCCTTCTATGGGTAGGCTCGGACTAACTCGCGGGCTTTTAGACAGTTTAATTTATATATATATATTTTTTATTTGTTTAAAAGCAAAACAATAAACCTCATAAAATTGGAACTTCCAATTATTAATATTACTAAAACAAAATGTTAAGTTGTTATTCAGATTTTCAAACTAAACAAAATCAAGTTATTGTTCTAAACATTATACAAATTACAAACTAAACACTAAATGATAGCAATATCATCAATATGATTTTTATCACTATCTTTAATATAAGTAATATTTGATTTTACTTTACTATGAGTAATTTTTTTTCAGTGACAAAAATATCAAGGTTTTCTACTTGAACTAAAATTCACTTTCAAGTTTTGTAGTCTAGTTATTATTTTACTTAATTTAAGATATATTAAAATTGAAACTCATAAATTTTTAATTCAAGTTATAGATCACAAGTTACATAAGTATAAAAATACATTCTTATCAAATATATATAGTTTAAAATATTGACATATATAATACAAATCAAATCATTATTTAATATCTAAGTTAACTCATTTTTTAAAGTTTAATCAACAAATCATTATTTAAAACAAAATAAGTCAAATTATTTTATGAAATTCAACTAAATATTTAAAATATCATCAATAATATAAAAAAATTATATTAACATCATATAATAATTTTAAAAAATAAAAAAATAAAAAGGCCTAATAGGTCGGCCTTTAGCCCTACAGGCCGGCCCGTATAGGCCTTCAACTCATCAGGACTAGTCCTTTTATGCCTGTTTTTTAATTTGAGAGGTAAAATCACAAGCCCAACTTTTTTAGGCTTGACCTGTTTTTCAGCTCTCATATCTTTTTGAATATTAAAAAATAATATCCGCAAACTTTGGCTCATTAGTCAAGTCAACCGGTCAATATGGGTCCACGAAATAATAATATGAGAAATATAGAGAAGGAATGAGCAAGGAACAAAAAATCGGATCAGATACTAAACCGATTGAGATAGTGGTTTAAAGGTCAGTGGGTCGGATCGGGATCAAATCGGTCATATTAAAATAATATAATTTGATTGAAAATAACAAAATATAACAATACTAATAATCACTAAAAACAAAATATAAGAAAATACAATAATAGTTTAATTGTAACAATAATAAAGTATAATAATATTGAGAATTTTGATCTTTATGATTCCTAAATAACTAAAATTGATAGTTATTGATACCAAAATTATCATTAAAATCCATTTAAATCTATAATAACTGATATATTAGGAGTTGAATGAGAAAAAATATGATAAATAGCAATATAATCATTCAGACCAGTTCATTACCGGTTCATACTAGTTTTCATCGATTCACACCTGTTTAACTGATTCAATTCGGTTCGAATTGGTCCCTGGTTTAATCTATGAACCAGACCGGACCACTGACCGATTCACCAGTTTTCTGGTTGAACCGGCCAGTTCGGTCTGGTTTTTTTTACTCTGGGAATGAGCCATCATATTTGAATGACAGAAGGTGAAGGTGAAGGACGCATGAAGCTGCTTGTTTTGGAATAAAAGCATGGAAAAATTGCAATTAGGTCCCACCTAAGAGAATTAAATACAAAAAAATCCCTTGAAATCATAAAATTATTTTGAAGTCCCAAGAAACTTTTTTGTAATAAATTTTATTTGTTTAATTACCAAATTATCTTTTTTTTTTTTAAGTTTGTATTGCCAACTGAAAGAGCAGTAGTTAATAATTTAGGGTGTAATGATTAACAACTATCGTGACAGGTAGTTGCTCAAAACATTATATTACTAAAATTAAGTCCTTTTTTTATTTTAATTTGAAGGGATAAACATTAACGGCAAAAAGTTTCAACTCTCAACGTTTCATTTACCAAGGACCTTTTATGCCGCTAAGATACAACAGGTTGACAAATTTTATCAATTATGAATGCAATGTATTGAATTAAAGGCAATGCTCCTTATAGTAGACTATGTTTTTTAATCCCTAATATAAGGTCTAATTAACTACTTTGAGACAATTAAAGAGGCTAAAAAATTATTTAAATATAGTATATGTTACATGATCTCTTTAAAATATTTACGTCTATTATTAGATTATATACCAATTATAAGTAGGGTAAATTAGTTTGAAAAATAACAACAAATATAATACTTTAAAGTAATTTTTTTAACTTTCTTAATATTTCTAAATTAGTCAATTGACCAACTGAACTTTATATTAAGGATCAAAAGTAGTACTATTATTCTGAAGCATATAGAGGATAGAGAGCATATTTTAATCAATACCAAAAATCTGAGTTTACACTGTAATTGGGGTTTTTTTTTCTTTTTTAATTTCTACATAAATACATGAACATCTAGATCGTAGTGCTTGAAATGTATAAGAACTAATTTAGTCTATATAACTTACTGATATATATTGAAAGGGAAAAATATCAAAATTAATTTTATAATTCTTTTATTCCTGGCGAATAGGTAGACGAAGGCTTAAAGATAAAATTACACAGAAACACAAAAACCAAAACAAATCAAATGAAAGCCACATAAAATTGCAACATCTTGTTCGCTTTTGTTTCCTGGCAAAGTGCTACCGTCAAATAGAATCAGGGGATGGACAAGGAGGAACAGCCACCTTAGTAACTCCCTCAAGGATCAACACCACACTCTTCATGGATGGCCGAAGAAAAGGTTCATCCTGAATACACCATAACCCCACTTTCACCATATCTCAAGCAATGTGTTATCCACTTCTTCTCCAATAACAAGCTTCTTTAACTCTCTCCTAACAAAACAATTGCAGACCCAATTGGATAGGACAATTTGCTCCGGATTTGACATCTTCACCACTAGGCTTCTTCTGCAAAATACAATCTCCAAAAGCATTACTCCATAGCTATAAACATCTGCTTTCACTGTTATTGGAGTGTTCTTACTCCATTCCAGAGCCAAATAACCTCCTGTTCCTCTAACTTGAGTAAAGGTACTTTTTTGATCTGGCATTAGAAGTTTTGCTAACCCAACGTCTGATATTTTAGCTGTAAAAAACTCATCCATCAATATGTTTTGAGGCTTTATATCATAGTGAATGATGGAAGCCCTGCATTGTTCATGCAGATATAGTGAGCCTCTTGCAATGTCCAGTGCTGTTCTTGCCAATCTGGACGTATGGTTCTGTCAACAAAGAAAACCTTCTCAAGGGAGCCATTACTCATGTACTCATAAACTAAAAGCCTTTTGGATCCCTCAGCACAATATCCCAACAAGCGAACTAAGTCTTTGTGGTAGGTTTTTCCAATGACCTACATTTCAGCTTGAAATTCTCTCTCTCCTTCTTCAATTAACTTGTGTAGCCTTTTTACTGCAATCAGTTTTTTCCCTTTGTGTAAATTCCTCTATAAACCGATCCGAAAGAACCCTTACCCCCTCTTGTTTGAAACCATTCGTTGCTTTTTTCAACTCATTGTAGGAAAATATCCTCAATATAATCCCTTCATTCAAGTCCAAATCTCCTATATCCAACAACCTCTTGTAACTTCAAATTCCAATCTTGTATATAAATTGGCTAGAGACTGCAATAGCTAAACACAAAAGAATAGCAAAACCTAACATGACAACAATGATAAGCAGAATTGCTCTCTTACTAGTTTTCTTAATGGAAGACGTATTGTTATTTCAACAATTAGAGGTCTGTTATTGAAACTAACAGTAGCTTCTAATGTATCCCTAATTATCATTTTCCCTTTTTATTTTTTTTTAAAAATGGTCTTACTTTTCCAAATATCTCTCTAATTCTCACTCCATAACATAAGCTGCCCCTGGTCATTGATCGGTATGCGTTCTTTTTTTAATTTTTTAATTTTGGGTCCCCTCAAGAGCTTTGCTTGCATTTGGAATTGGCATTGGATCACGATGGTGTTTTGAGAAATGGATGGAATGAAAGTTTGATACAATTCAAACTTAACATAGTGGCAGTGATTGAAAGTGAACACATCAATTCCCATTTTGAAACCCACAATTAGTTGCACAATCACTTGACAAGCTTTTGATACAGCAATTGAATTTATCTAATTTTTAAATTATATAATATGATCATATATATAACACAATACTCCCTGTTATGCTTATTATAAGTTTCAAATAATTAATTCAAAATTAAAATTAACCAAAAGCAATAAGTATGTTAGAACTATACTTTTATTTCCAAATATGTCTTTATAATAAATGTGAAAAATGATGAAAGAAAATGTGTGAGGAAATATGATAAAAGAGAGTATGTCAAATAGGAGAGAATTAATAATTAATGTAAAAATTGGAAAAAATGAATTAAATATTAAGATAAATCTAAATCAAAGGTTATAAAATGAACCCAATCCTCTCCAAATTTCAAATTTATAGAAAGGACTGGATGGAGTATTTTTTAAATTTTTAATGGATTATACTATCAATTTAGCTTGGCAGATAATTTTGGCTTGTATTTTTAATAATTAACGAAATTGTTTCAAATATATTGATATTGGTCAACAAAAGCATACGCATATAATAAGTATTTTTTGGAAAAATTGCAATTAGATCCCAACTGAGGGAATTAAATACAAAAATGTCTCTTAAAATCGTGAAATTATAATGAAGTCTCAAGATACTTTTTTAGAATAAATTTATTTGTTTAATTACCAAATTGTCCTTTTTAAAAAAAATTGTATTGGCAACTGAAAAAGCAGTCATTAACAACTTAAAGTGTAAGGATTGACAACTATCATGGCAGGTATTGATCACACATTTTCTCAACACATCACAAAATCTAATGCATGAATTGTCAATACCTGCTGTGATAGTTGTCAATTCTTGCACCCTAAGTTGTCAACTACTGTTCTTTTACTTATCAATACAAACTTTAAAACAAAGGTAATTTAGTAATTAAACAAATAAAATTTATTGCAATAAGGTTCCTTGGGACTTCAGAATAATTTCATGATTTTAAAAGACCTTTTTATATTTAATTCCCTTGAGTGGGAGCTAATTGTAATTTTTTATTTTTTTTTATGAAAAGACAAATTTCATTAAGATAACATGAATACAGTTTAAAAGGTCGAACAAGCAAAAAGCTGGTTTAGCAGCAGAAGACTTGCCTAAGGGGGTGTTTGGATGAGGCAAAACCATGGTTTGCAGAATATCTTCTGGAGAATAGATTCTGGAGAGAATAGATTTTGAAAGAATAGATTTTCTGGAAAAGTGATTCTGATAAAGTGAGAGTGTTTGGATAATTACTCCTCCGGTCCTTATTATAAGACCCAATTTGACTTTTTATTTGGTCCTAATTATAAGACCCAATCCATTTTCTCTCTTATATTTATGCATTTTTTTCCAAGATAATCCTTCTAATAATGATAGTTTTAGCCAATATACTTAATTAGCAAGGATATTTTAGGAATAACAACACTTATTTATTATAAATAACCAACTTAACTTACTTCCTTAATCTCCTCAAATAAGTCAATTGGGTCTTATAATTAGGACCGGAGGAGTATTATTGTAACACCCCGAATTTTCTGACTCAGGATGAGCAGAAAAGAGAAAGTTCATTAAAATTGTTTAATAGCTCAATTAATTGGGGAAAATTATGGAATATTGATTTTTCAAGGTTTAGAAATATTTTGGAAAAGTTCATTCCCCAAAAAGTGGCTTAAATGATTTTAAAGCTATTGTCATAGCAAAATGGGTTATTGTCTTAGAAAATACTTAGAGGTTTCTAATTAACTAGAAAATTTTAGGGAAATTATCTTATGAGGTAAAGAAGTTATTTGAGGCATAAAATCCTTAAAATGAGTTAAGGATTAATTTCTGGAATTAAGAGTTATTTTCTTGGAAATTCAAGAAAAATAGTTATGAGTTAATTTTTGACCCAAAATGTTTAGAGAAATTATTTTATGGATCAAAGAAGCTAGTCGAAAAGAAAGATCCATATAAAACATAGTGGAGTAATTTTTGGGTTTATCTATTTATCTCAGAATTATAGAGGAAGCATGAAAGTGAAAGAAAGCAATGAGCGTAAGGGCAAAGTGGACATTTCGTTTGTTTTTACTTCCTCATCACACGTGTACTGCCTCACCGCTTAACATAAGATAACACTCTTCCTCCTGATTTTTTCATTCGGCCACTCGAAGGAAAAGAGAGAGAGACGGAAAGCGAGAGAGGGAGAGCACGGGAAAAAGCAGTACCGGAGTTGGTGATCGGAGGTAGTGATCGGTGGCCAGATTCCTGCATGCAAACGGAGTTTCAGATTCAGGTGAGCCCTCTGATCATCATTCTACTCTTCGTTCTTTGGTTTGCTGTGTGTTTGAAGAGTTAATGATGAAAGAAGTTTGGGTTCTAGTGAGAGAAACTCTTGGTTAAGTCTGAAGCTCAATGATGATGAAAGAGTAGTGTTTGTTGATGATGATGGAGTATGATTTTTAGCTTGCATGTGGATTTCCTTGCTCTGTTTTGTTGCTGGCCGAACAGGGGTTGAGTGGCTGGTTTAGGATGATAATGAGTTAAGTTCATGGAGTGAGCATATTATATTGCATGTTGCTTATCTCCTCTGCAAGTTAAACTTGAATAGTTGTTGTTGTTGTTTCTGATGCGGGTAGCGTCAGGTTCTGGTGGAATTAAAGGGGGAAAATTGCACTATTCAGTGTATATATGAGGCCGTATGTGATATTGGTTTGTGAAGTGACGGTTTTCGAACCCCAAGCTCCGTTTTAATTAAGTGACATGGAGTTCCCTGTTTTGGTTGTATAGTGTCGGTTCATAGTAACAAAAGTAAGGGAAGTTCAGATATTATGCAAAAGAGCTTTAGATGGTGCTGTGTGATAGTTTGGTGAACGTTTTCAAATCAGTAAAAAGAACAAAATCCAGAATATGGGTGCTGATGTACGAAACATTTATGGAGGTTAGAAAGTGGCTAAGTTATATATATAGAGAACGAAGCTATTTGGATATATATTAGTGAATGTGTGTGTGTGTGCGTATGGGGGAAAGCCGTGGAAGTATGAGTGGCAAACATTGAAATTGAAATGGTTAATTGGGAGGAAGTTTAGGCATGATTATATATATATATATATATATATATATATGAGTCTATGTGTATAAGTGTCCGCTTGGTTCAGTGATTTAAGAAGAAAAAGTTGCTGCAGTAAATATTAATTGATATGGGAGAAAGGCGAAGCTAAGAGCTTAATATATATGTATACTTGGGAGAGTGTTTCAGTTAGTTGGAGTTTGGAGGAAATTAAAGTGGTTAATTTTCTTAAGAGCTTGTAAAGATGGTAGAAAATGCTTTTAAAATCTGGAAATATTTTCCAAATTTTGGGGTGATGTGTATGGGTTCTCTGTCTCTGTTTTATGACTATCAAAACAGAGAGCTTGCCCTTATATTAAGGGGGTTGAATTTGGGACATTAGAGGAAGGTGAAGGCATACACGCATATAGATGAGGTTACACTTGGAGATTGGAGTCTAATGCTCTCTAGTATTGTTGGTCTGTGTTTGGCCGAAAGCTAATGGAGTTTATATTGGTGCTTGAGAAGTTGAAGTGATCTAATGGAATAAATGAGATATAATATATATACATATATATATAGTCGCAGATTTGTCTTAACAAATTTATTATATATGTATATATGTATGTGTGAAGATGCCGTGAGGAGTGAGTTTGGAAGCTAAAATCAGATCGGAAGTGAGAAGTGATACACACACATGGCGGGAGAAAAGAAGGAAACGAGATTAATATATGCATGTGCTGTTTGGTTGCTGTTGTCCGTGAGGTTGATAATTGGGAAAGTTGGAATTTTCGAATTATTGAAGTTAAGTAAGGATCTTAAAGGTATATGAGTTGCTAATAATAACTAGAAAAGTTTGTAGATTTATTTTGGAGTGTTAGATTAAATTTATTTGGTGGAATAAGGAAAAGTAAAGTAACACTATGGGTTGAGATAAGGAAGGAAGCGTTCCAAAGAGAATAGTTTAAATAAGAAAAATTATCCAAGATCACCAACTATTATGTAAGGGTAGAGATTAAAGAAGATTTGAGATTTAAAGAGAATTATTTAATTTATGAATTACAGTTGGATCAAATATTGATCTACCCTTATGAATATGATAGGTTTTTATATCTGCTCAAGCCCACCAAGAAGCAGAAAGAAAGGAGAACGGTAAGGTTTGATTTGGAGGGAAGCCGTCCAGGTAGTAGTTCTTTCCTCCCTTACACTTGTGTATGATTGCTGCATGTCTGTTTGTGCCATATTGCTATTCAAAAAGCATGAGAACATGTAATCCTTAATTCCTTGCATGGATTATTTAGCCGTGATCACGTGCAGCTGATAGACATGGGGCAGTGATTGCCAATTATTTGCGCTTTACTTATTCAGCTTGTCTAACAGACATGGGGCAGTGATTGCCAATTATATGCGCGGCAGTGATTGCCAATTATTTGCGCATTATTTATTCAGCTTGTCTATCTGTCATTGCGCATAAATGCTTAATTGCATTAGCTTGCAAGGTTTTGTTCCATATGGCTTGTTTTGCATGTTTTATGTGATCTGCACATTTGTTTGATGGAAATTACTACTACGGGGATTCTTCGGAATCTCACCCCCCAATTTATGATGAACAGTGAAGGCTAGTAGCTAGAAGGACAAGGAGGTTATTTAAGAAGAAGATGGGCTGGTTGAAGATCAGAGATACCTGTTATAATTCTGTAAATTGTATAGCAAAATATATTGGCAAGTAACTTTACTTGCCCTATGGAAATATTATTTTGTATCCTCTAGAAGAAGGAAGTGAGCATTGCCAGGTGCACGTATATGCTGTCAACCAAGAGCGTTGCTTTATTTTTAATATAATATTATAAGATTGTATAGTATGAAATTATTTTAGATGATAATAGATTAAGTTGAAAGCAGGGTTGATATTGGATCACTCATTAGTTATCTGAAGCTTTGAAATATTTGATCAACGGATTCTAATGTTAAAGGAAAAAAAAAATTCCCTGTTTTTTCCCAAGACGGAAACCTGGCGTTAGTGATTCACAGACGTTAAAATGATCCTATTAATATATATAAAAGTGAGGTGTTGCAATTATCAGAAGTGCTTTTTGATATGTAAAAATTACTAAAAAGGACATAAGTTTAAATGATAATTACATATAATATATATTTCATAATATATGTTTATTTGAAGTAATAAATTTATTAATAATATATATTTTGGCAACATAATAAATATGGCATAAATAATATAAATAATAAGAAATTAGTGTGTATATATATTAATAAAATAAATATGTTTTTAGGAAAATGATTTATTTTGCCAAAGAAAATATTATTTATATTATTTATAAATATAAATAATATAAATAATATTATTTATATTATTTAAATAAGGGATACCTAAGTATCGCCCCCCCGCGTGCTGTTCCCTCCGTGAGCTGACCTTTGAAGCCCAATAATTGTCCCTCCTCAGAAGCTATGCCCCGCCTGTTTATCTGAAACCAAGGTTTTGTTGGGCAAAACCAAGGTTTTGCCCAAAACCTTGGTTTTAAAAAAAATGGGGGTGTTTGGCAAATTTTTTGCCAAACCATGGTTTGGCAAAAAAGCCAAACACCCCCCTAAATCCTTTTAGGTCTCGAGTTCGAGTCCCACAAAAAACACCTTTATACCTCGAATCGGATTAGCCGGATGATAATATAAGGTGAAAAAAAAAAGCCAGCTCATCATAGAAAGTCTATTTTTTTTTTTACCTGAAAAGTCCAATTTTTGAATCATCATCTTTTTATACTAGCTGCTTATTCCCAAATTACAAATTTCACATTTTCTTTACATTCTGTTAAAT